TTGCTTCTGTTCTCTGTACATCTGCACCTCTGTTAGGAAGAGGCTGTCAGCCCACTCAAATTTCTGCTGCCTTTTTTTTTTTTTTTTTTGTGTCTCTTCCCCAACGTTAGCCCTTCACCTTCCTCCTTACACAGCACTTATGTCTCTCACCACCTGTCCGCCTATTTTATGTCCATCAACAGACACTTTGCTTCTGTTCTCTGTACATCTGCACCTCTGTTTGTCTAACCCGCCTTTCCTTCTTCAGTGCTGGGACGCTGCCAGTCACCTTTCGCTGTCTGGAGGAAAATCTGAAGGTTGATAAGCGTGTGACTCGCTTCGTGCTGCCCATTGGCGCCACCATTAACATGGACGGCACTGCGCTGTACGAGGCTGTGGCAGCCATCTTTATTGCCCAGATGAACGACATCACCCTGGATGGTGGACAAATCATTACTGTGAGGTAAAGCACATGGTAGACATGTCAGCGTCTCATGATATTTTTCTGTTTTATACCTATGAGGTGCAATCAAAAAGTTTCAAAACCACAACAGTCAAAAAGAAGACACTAAATCTGATTTAAATGTTGCCACCATCCTCCCTGAGAGTCCTGTTTTGTGAGCGCTTTAAGCAGTGAATCTCCTTCTCTAGGTCAAAAGAGAAACACTTCAACCTGAATTTCATTTTAGGGAGGAGAAAGAAGTCATAGGTCGCCAAATTTGGCGAGTTGGGCAGGTGGGGAGCAACAATGTTGTTGCTGTAACCAAAAAATTAATGCGTGATCAATGCACTGTGAGCAGCCAAGTGCTAACCAGATGGTTTGCACTAAATGTTCTCCTTCAGATACCTCAGAATGTTACAGCAGAACTTGATGTTGACAGTCTGACCCTGGCGCACAACCCCAATGTCGAGGAAAATATTGAGCATCTTCTTGGTGTTCCCCTGACCTGGCATGTTTTCCGGCCTTAAAGAAAGCGATATCTTTTCAACTTTGAAGATTGCCGTTTCTTCACTCAGTGGTAGCTGTAGACCCACCTCTCGTCACCAGTAATAATTTACAAGAAAAAGGTCGGCTTATCCCGGACCTCTTGATGGAGATTCTCACAAACTTTGACATGTTGTTGCCTCTGCAGATCCACAGTAAAATTGCAAATGCACACCTGCATGTAGTAAAAAAAAATAAAAACATGTGTAGCACAGGTCCCGATAGATTGTGCAACATCATGTGGAATCTGTTCATGCACAACAGGATCGGAATAATAACTTCCTGATTGCACCTCGTACCTGATCCTTTTGTTGTGGAACGTGAGTTTCCTGTTTTCATTGACAGAGAACAGCGATATTACGGCAAGTGGCTTTGTTTGAAAATGTCTGTAGCTTTCCAAAACCAACAGTTTAACATTTACACCTGCTTTACACCACATTTGACTCAGCTGTGCTGAGGTGAGACAGGAGTCAGGATTTGCTTTATTTATCCTGTAATTAACTATTTCTGTTATTGTTGCGTGTGCAGCCATGTTTAACAGTATGCCAGGAATTCCAGGAAAGACTAAAAGTGTGCGCCATTATGTCCTAATTTAAACAAGTATCTCTTCTCCCACCTTTTCTCACCCGAGTGTGGCTATCTGGAAAAACATAAAATCCTTCTGTTGTCAGATGGCATTTTGTACAAACTTTGCAGCATAACCTGACACTTAGGATTTCTAAATGTAATCGGCTGCACTGGTGAAAATTAGGATCAAGCAACTTCACTGTGTCAGGAGGCATTTTTTGTTAACAAACAGAAGTAAACATGGCAACATTTTTAACTGCCCAAGTTCAAGACAGGTGACGTTAAATGCCTTAAATCAGCCATAATATGGGGATTTTATGTGAAAGCTTTGTCTTGAATTATCTTACCGACAAAAAGATTAATAATAATTTTCCATCTTAAAACCCTGTTAAAGACTAGTTTTGCTTAGTTTCCGTCAAACCCCACACCAGAAGAAATATAACTTGTGCCAACACAACAAAAGTGTCACAACATTCATGTTTGGAGGTCACAACACGGGCTGCATGTACCGTATGCTCCTGGTTAGTAAAAACAGTTTGAGAGGTTCTACAAGGGAAGTATGATTCTAAGCATTTCAATTTTAAGTAAAACTGTCAACAGCAAAAATCCCACAGTGCAAATTAAAACTTTGATTTGCAAATTCATTATTTTAGCACACAGAAGTCTAACTTACCACAATAAATGTCAATGTCAGTACACTGAAGCACTTCACAACTTGAAATACATCAAGATTTACATCTAATTTGAAACATTTGATTTGTTTTACATTGATATAAGGAGCCTGACAAACTTGAACATACTTGATCATGAGGGTTATTTTCTTCAGTACCTGTGACGAGCAGTTTGTTGTCCCTTGTTTTTTTTTTTTTTTACACCATTAGCTGATTATAATACATGACAGAAGGTCTTATGGTGCAGTCTGGTGAAATTTACTTGCGTGCTGTGGTGACAGAAAATCGCCTGGGCTCTAAGCATAAACCGCTGGGGCTAGCATGGCTAGCGTGCTAACAAATGCAGTACACAAAGTTGTAAATTATACCAAATTATAGAGTTTTATGTACAATTTACTTGAAACCCAACATGTTTCACCCTGTGCAAAGTGAGTTTTTTAACCGACTGCACCATAATTAGTACACCAGTGGAAGTCACATGACATAATGTCAGTAACTTGATTGGCATGTGTCTTGGTGCAACTGCAATTCTGTTGACTGCAGCAGTTGATAAGCTAGTTAGGTAAAAAAAAAAAATGTTTCACATGTAACATTACCCTGAATCTGAATATGCATTAGATTAGAACAGCTATTGGTGTAAAAAAAAAAAAATTCTAGGGATTATAAATTGACTTATGAGAACTGAAGCCAGTGTGTGATTATGTGTTTCAGAGTAAAACTCTGAAGTGAATGCAGTGAGGCAGCGATGAGATATTTGCTTCTCATTTCTGAGGTTTCAGCAAAACATTTAAGTCTGATTAAAACCAGTCTTCTTGGCTCAGACTTAGCTTGTGGTGGCCGCAGGTTATGAATAATGCTTACCGCTTTGAAGTTGTTTATTATATGTCTTTCATCAACGGCTGTTTACCACCAAATTCCAAAATCTCATTTTCTATTGTATCATCTGTGGTGAAATTGCTCTAAAATAAAATCCATATGCGCTGTGTAAATCTTTTGGCTGTTCCACTTAATCTCCCAGTCACTGGGAGGTGATAATTAGCGCTGCAGTTTGTCAGAAATAATTGAGATGTAATACAGAGCTGTGAGATCAGACGAACAGCATCGTGTGGTAAATATAACAGTGTAGAACAGCGTCCAAACTGGCCTGCATTCACATCTGGGATCAACACGAACTGATTATTCCTGTAATTCATGAAAAGCAGGATTTGTGTTTTACGTCAGGAAACATGTTGGGTTCTGAACAGGAGAAGTGTGCCCTTCTTGAGATACTGATTTTATACCAGTGTTGCGTGCATGGTGGGAAAAATGAACACTTATAAGTTGTTGGTATATGATGGGGTGTCCAATCCTGGTCCTCGAGGGCCACAATCCTGCATGTTTTGGATGTTTCCTTGATGATGGTGAATCAGACCAAATGATCTGACATGTAGGTTGTTGAGCTGCAACATACAAAATGCTGCTTTCAAAGTTTATATTTGACTTTTTGTCTGTTTGCACAAAATGCAGCCACACTGACAACTTCTTTGAGATGTTAGTTTGGAGCTCACTCTTGTAAGCGTTCAGATAAATAAGCTAGACCTTGCGATCTCTGTTATGTTGGGTGGTTCTCCTTATTAAAGTAACATATGATTGTCTGACCAATGAGAAGTTGGTCAGATGACAGCATATAGGCCAACCAGTTGATCTGGAGAGTGATCTAAAGCCCTAATCTAGTCCATGTAATGCAGAAAGGTTAAATATCTTCTATGATGTTAAAGAAATCCTGAGCTAAATGGTTAGGTCTTGTTACCCTTTCCTCATTCTAAAGTCAACTGGTATCCAGTACCTCTTAGGTCTCGTTTACTTCAAGTTAATGGGGCTTATTGGCAGCCGTTGGACTGACTAAGCATGCTGAATCAGCAGTGAAAGCACTTGTGAGTCCTTTGATTGCCTGTTTAACCTAGTGAATCAGTGAATTCCACTATTAAATGCGGTTTCATCTGTGCTTTTTCTGATGGTGCTACAGTCCAGCAGCACAATGGTCTGTTAGTTGTGGTCGTTTGGCAGAAACACTAATTTTTTGGCATCAAATTGTGCACATGGAATAAATTCTTATGTGTGTCTAAAACACCTCTTGTACTTATTTCTCAGTCTGCAGGGAATTATGAGATACGTCTGTTGGTTTTGGCTGCATGATACCACTTCTTGAAAAGCCTGGATTCAACAGCCATTCACAGCTTCTCAACACGAGTGTGAAGTAAAAGAAAACTTTATAGTGCAGATTAGATTTTTTTACAAGACAATTTCTCAGTTGGTGTTCCAAGGTTATAACAAGGCTGCTTCTTGCCAAGATACAGAGCTTACATGGTGGCTTTAGACTTTTTTTGAGTGCAGCTTTTAATAGAAAACAGAAGGTAACGTGAGGTGACGAACATGCTTGACTAAATGGCTTTGTGTTTTCCCTAAAACACATGTCAGTTAGTCATGCAACCAAACATTTCTCACTGCAGTGAATAAAATATGCCAAAATCTATTCTTCCTTCTGCAGTATGACTGCCACCCTGGCCAGTGTTGGCGCTGCCAGTATTCCCAGTGCTGGACTGGTGACCATGCTGCTGATCCTAACTGCTGTTGGCCTGCCCACCCAGGACATCAGCCTGCTGATCGCTGTCGACTGGCTGCTGTGAGTCAGGTGTCTGATGAGCAGGCAATAAAAATCACTGCTCTGTGGTTCATGTTAGGGCAGTGACACTCTCTTAAACATTTGTGAGAGGGGTTGTAAAAATATTGGTGCTACTCAGCCAATATTTCACTTGCTGACACTGATACTGTTTGTCCACTCAGTGACAGAATGCGTACCTCCATCAATGTGGTGGGCGACTCATTCGGTGCCGGCATCGTGGATCACTTGTCTCGGGCGGAGCTCGCTGAACTTGACGCCGCAGAAATGCAAATGCTCCCGCCAGAGGAGGAGCTCGATTTCATCCCCCCACCGCCGATCCTCACAGAGATGGACCTGGCTGACCCCCTCAAACCGCCCGACCTGCCACCTCGCTCCCCTCGTCCACCCAAACAAAACCACCACGGCCACATTTTCTCCCAGTCCCACTCCATCACTTACTCACCGTCTCGTTCTGCCCGATCTCCGTCACCACCCTCCATTCGCTCACCCTCTCCGCGCTCCGTCTGCTCCCATTCCCCTCGGCCTTTCCGCACTCATTCACCACGCCTCCTCCGCAGGACGGAGCCGGGATATTGCGCCCTGCCCAGCTGTGATAACCAGGTAACTATCTTCCTCCAGTGTTCTTCCTGTACTGTAAGTCAGTGTTTATCTGTGCCACAGGGCTGCCTTTAAAATGGCTACAGGAGCACATGCAATAGATACATAAATTATATGTGTTTCCTTAGGGGGGTATGTTGATTAAAAGTGAGTCACTCTGTGTCTCATCTCAGGGGTTTCCTCCTTCCAAGTCCACATTTCAAATGCAAAAACATCACGAGAGGTCGCACAGAGGCTCCTCTAAGTCCTGTAGGTCATTTAGTAGCCTTCAATCCTTCACAAAGTAGCAAGTATCCTTCAAAGGAGGCGACCTTTGAAATGGGAGAAAGGGACTGTACTGACTGTGCTTGTTCCACACCACAGTATAATAGTGGGCCAAACATTTTATGCTCCTTGTCATGTTTTTCTCTGGTCAAAACAGGAACCGCTGAATTAAACATGTATTTGCTGATGTTTGCAGTAGGGCTTTTGGGAAAGGATCTCATTGTGTAATCGATTTAAAACATAATGGAGCATTACCACATGAATTTAAAAACCCAATGACACATCAATTTAAATTCTGGGTCAGACGTGCTGCAACACGTACGAGGTGTTGCTAATAGATCACGAGACTGGGCTTTTGTGAGTCAACCACATATTGTACAACAACAACCCTTGAGAGTTTGAATCAGCTCATATCAAAAAATTATTTATAGAGGTAGTTGCTGCTGGACTTTGGAGGTGCTTGGAGTTCCAGCAACATGCTCTCCTTTGACAGTACCCAAACACAGCGAGAAAGTCTTAATTCTCCAGATACCCTGTGCTATGTCCACCCTCTGACCCCCCACACCTTGTAAATATTACATTGATACACTGTTCGAGCCAAATCTGTAGCCAGCTGCTAAATGCTGTAAAAAGTGCAAAGTCACAGCTTTTCAGAAAATCAGTCAGTAATTGATTGGCCCTTATATCCCTGCATATCCTTAAAAAATTACAAGCTTGAAATAGACCAGTGTTAAATGTGTGACTAAAATGTTAGGGTTAATTGTAAAAATTTGTGTGGGGAAAAAAAGGTAGAAATTCACAAAGCACAATGGAAAACATGCGGCATGTATATGTACATGTATGAATGTATAAACTAAGTTTACGTTATTATGTACACTGATCAGCCACTGCCTTAAAACCGTCTGCCTAATATTGTGTAGGTCCGTTAAAACAGCTCTGACCCGTCGGAGCGTTGACATAGAACCTCTTGGGGAATTTTGTGATGTCAGGCACCAGGATGTTGGCAGTAGACACTTTCGGTCCTGTGGATTGTGAAATGGGAGCCTGTGGATCGGGCTTGTACCAACGTAACCCACCTATCATTGTTTAGATCTCTAAAGTTTGGGTCAACAACTTTTTGTTGTGCTTCTTGAGTCATTCCTGAGCAGTTTTTGCGGTCTGGTAGAGCGCATTGTCCTACTGGGGGATGCCGCTGCTATCAGGGAGTGCTGTTTCCAGTCTGCAGCAATGTTTAGGTTGGTGGTACGTGTCAAAGTGACATCCTCATGAATGCCGGGAACCAAGATTTCCCAGCAGGGCGTTGCACTGTAACAATATAATCAGTGTTATTCACTTCACCTCCAGTGGTTTTGGTGTTGTGGCTGATTGGTGTTTACTCATAATATCTTAAAAATGTGTGAATCTAGAGGGTAAGAAACAAAAAACCTTGATACAAACCAGATGTGAGCTCGCTGTCAATGATCTACCTGAAACACTTTGCACTCTGCGTTCTTGTATTTTGTCAGATGAAGTGACGACAAACTGGTACATGGTCTCATTTCTTTCTGTTTGCGTTCTTAGATTCCCACAATGCCTCGCTCCTACAGAGAGAGAGGCAGAGAGCGAGAGAGAGACCGGGACCGGGAACGAGAGCGACTGAGGCGAGAGAGCGAGACCGAGGAGGAGGAGGAGAGAGACAGGGTTTTGTGTGAAATGAGTGATGGTGAGGAGAGTGATGACACTGCGTACGATCGGAGGCACGCCGTCCCGCCGAGTGACCTGCCGTGATCGGATTTTCCCAACAGAAAGCTTCACGGTCGATTTGTTTCAGTCTCATGACAGATTTTCCCTCTTTCAGCTTTACTGTTTAGCAAGATCTCAGTGGAGGTCCACAGTGGATTTCCAGCTGGTCACACTGCTCATCTTTGATCAGTGAACTTGACATGTATAGATTTGAAAGTATTGCGATGACAACATCCTGTAGCTTTACTGAGAAGGGCCCTTAAAACCAGGCCTCAGACTTTTGCTTTGTCTCAGGCCAAAGCAAAAGTCTCTTTTTGATGCAGAAGTTAGCTGAAAGAGTTGTTTTTCTCCTCATCTCCGTTGCTGTCTTGATTTATCATTTCCAAACTTAAATCAAACCTAAAAACACTCCCGAATGCCTGCAGTTCCTCAACTTTGAGAATCGTGAGTTTGTTCTTGATGGGAAAAGTATGTTGGTGTTCGTACCAGCCTTTAATCGCACAACAACAGCTTGTTAGTTACTCCTTTACTTTTGCTCAACTCAGTATCTTCTTCTTTTACTTTCTTTACAGGATGTGAGCACTTCAAAATTTGAAGGAACAGTTTGATATTTTGCGAAATTTTTACTTTCTTGTAGGGAAAACAATATTGATTCCACGCATATCTTTACAGCAAATGTCCAGCAATTAGTCAGCTTAGGCTAGCTTGCTCTGACGAAAGGTAACAAAATCCAGAACCTCTAAAGCTCACTAATTAGCGTGTCATATCTTGCTTGTTTAAAGGTCTCATACTGTGCCCCTTTCTCGGAAACTGTGGTTGGACTTGCTTGCCTTTTGGAAGAGCAAAACTAGCTGTTTTCACCCTGTGTTAAGTGTTTATGCTAAGCTAAGCTAACAAGCTGCTGGCCATCACAGTCTTACACTAAAATGATGTAATAGATCTGTTGGTCCACAGCTCAACAACCTGTTAGTTTCACAATAATGGCTGTTGAATAGTGAGATGCCTTTGTTTTTTTTGGCATAGTTTGTGTTGTCCTGCATTCATGTTGCAGGACTCGCAAGTTTCCTTCTTTCTAAACAGCAACAAAGTCTGCAGAAAGGGATTGTTGTTGTGTGTCGTTTTCGCTCATTATTTTCAGTTGTTTAAGCTACAAAACAAATTCATTAACTTTAGGCACCAAACCTACTTGGTTAGGTTTAGGAAAAGATGGGGCTTAAAGTTGAAACAAAATTCTGCAAACACTTTTTCCTCGCTGTTAGCTTTCGTTTGTAGTTACTGTTTTCTGATGTTTTCAGTTGCTGTTTGCTTTTGTTGACACAAAAAAAACTTGGTTAACTTTAGGCTCTAAAACTACTTGGTTAGGTTTAGGAAAAAAAGATGGTTTAAGCTAAATTCCACCTCAAAACCCTCATTGGTGGCTATTTGCTTTCATTTTTAGTCACTGATTTCAGTTTTCAGCTGTTGTCTGCTACAAAACTGCTTCATTAACTTTAGGCACCAAAACGACTCAGCTATGTTCAGGAAAAGATGGTTGGGGTTAGAATACACCCACGCAAATGACAATTTTACAGTGTTTTTTGTGAACAGAAAATGTTTTGTGCCGTGGATGAACTCAGCTATTTCACGTTTCTGTGTGAGACTGGGCTGTTCTGGCTGTAACCTCATTTTTACAGATTTAAAAGTGATTAATCTCTTCATGACTCTCAGCAAAAATGTGCATTTTTCAAAATGTCGAACTCTTCCTTTAAATGACCTCAATAATACAAACACATTGTAAATGTAAATGAAGAAAATAAACAGCCAGCAGACATTATTTTTATACAGTTCTCCACCTCCTTGCATCTCTCTACATTCTCCTCCTCGGTGCTCTTCTTAGCTCACTTCCCCACGACAGCAGTCACTGTTGATGTTAATATTGTCGATATTCTCTATGGTTTGTAATTTCTTGTTGTGGTCCGATGTGTGAAATGATGAGTACTAGGCAAGATGCTGTTTTAATTTTGTTGTATGTTTAAATTTATTTAAATCTCGTTTAACATTTTAACTGTAAAATAACTTAATTGGTCTCCTTTCTCCCGCTGAATTGCCTTTCATTTCAATTTGAAGTTCATTAACTGCCTCCCTGCCATCCTTAAGTCTTAATTCAGATTCACAGGTCCAGGTTGTGTGTATATTGTATGTAATAAAATCTTAGAGATTTATTTAAAGTAACTGCAATTCTTCTGTGTGTTCTTTGCTGATTAAGTACCTTGTACAATCTGTGCGAGGATTTGCAGTGGAAAGGGGACACGCGTCAGTGTTTGGTGACTAAAGACAGGAAAAATCCTGCAGACAAAGATATTACTGGATGGCAAAGTTGCAACAGACACACAAACGAAATATCCACATCGCACACCAGGCTGTGCTTACACTTTGATGAGACAAAGACACACAGATACCAGCGCACTTAATCCTCTCAAAGAAGAGTTAGAGATGGGTGAGGCAGGAGAGGGTGATGGATGGGAGAGGAATCGGAGGGCGGCAGATGGCCAGAAAGACGTCAATCCTTTTCATTCTTCCCAGACAGCATAAGGGCACTGTGTGTAATTGCGAGCAGGGCTGACGTTAGCTTCGGCTCCGTGCACGTCAGAGAGGGGAGCCGAGCGAGGTAGAGGGAAAATTTGAAAGGCTGCGGGTCAGCAGAAACCCGAAAATTTCATGTTGGCGTTTTGTGAAAGTCACAGTTGTGCAGATTGACTGAGTGTTTCTGGGTGTTCTGGTGTCCATTAAATGAAATGAAGCACTAATCTGGCCTGTAGCATGAGAGAGAGAGTCGGACTTCCAACACATGACATGAGGATATCACACCATCTGAGGCGACAGGGGGGTCAGGAATTTAATCACTGCAGCCATCGTGGTTGAGAGGAGCATCATCTGCTCCAAAACCACGTTGATTTTCTTTGCTTCAGCCCAGTGTCAACATATTCTCAAGCAGTCCTAAGTCCTTTTACTCAAGTACTGTACTTAAATACAAATCCAAGATACTTAAGGTGCATAAAATGGAAAAAACACAAGTACAAATAGATGGTACTTGTGCTTTAGTTTTTCCACTTCATGCAGCTTTATACTTCACTACATTGGACAAATCTTGTACTTTTTACTTCACCACATTTGCCTGACAACTTTAGTTACTTCAGATAGCAGTTGTTCACACATTTCCTGTCCATTGCACCCTTGTATCTCTTAATGTGGTGTTGTAGGGGAGTTTAAACTAAATGATTAAGTGTTTATGAGTTAAGAATAATGTACTTCTTAAGATGCATACATGATCTTTACTAGTGAGGCACGATATTAAAATTTCTGGCCGATGCCGATATCCGACATTAAGATTTCTGATATTGACGATAACCGATATTGACGATGTTGATATTCAATTTTTGTTCACACCGAAAAATGAGTATGAGTAAGCACTGTGAGAACGTGAAAAGTATTCAAAGGAAGCCCATACCAAATTAAACTACATAGTCTTCTTAATTCTGTAACAAAAGTAAAACATACTTAAACATATTTTAACATATTTAATGTTCAGGTCCAGGACCATTTAAGTAAAAACATTTGTGAGATAGCAGCAATATCAAATGTAGAGACGAAGGCGCTAATGTTAAACAATCATCAGTTTTTCACATTGACTAAATTTGTTCATCAGACCGATACCAATATATGGGGAAAAAAAAACCACTAATATTGTCCGATACCAATGTGGTCGCTGATATATCGTGCATCCCTAATTTTTACTGTAGGTTAACCTGCCCAGTAGTACGAAAAGTAGTTTAAATGAACTCATGTAATGATTTACAGCAGTACAATGCAACAGTGCTGATCCAAAAACATCATATGCAGCAGTAAAATACTAACACAGACCATTTTAGCTCAGAATGAGTACTTTTAGTCATACTCTTTGCTGATAATACACACTTTTGCTTTAGTAAGGTTTTGAGTAAAGGACTTTTATAGTGGAGTATTTCCATACAGTGGTATTAGTACTTTTACTCAGGTACAGTATTTGAATACTTCTTCTACCACTGTTCTCAAGTCTTTAGTTGTTTGAGACTTTGAGACTAAAATTGTTAATTAATTCAGCTCTTTGACATTATTATCACAAGTCAGTGGGTATTAATGGATAAATTACTGGATCTCAGGCTAAGTAAATCACAGATATAGACATATACAAATGGCTGCAAAAATGAATCTGATTGATTGTAAAAATCTGGAGAATTTCCCAGAACTCAAGGTGAAGTTTTCAAATGCCTTGTAATATAAAAAATACACAACTTAAAAAATGATATTGGGAAGATTTTTAAGAAAATCATCAGAAACACCAAAAAAACATTTACCTGATTGACTCATCAATTAGCAGACTGATTGTTTCAGCTCTAAATTAATTACATTATTAAATTAACAGCAAAGTTACAAACTTTAGTCAAACTTTAAATAATTTATTACTGGCTAAAAATAAAGTTTCACAAATGATAAAGGTTAAAAAAAATAAAAATAGCCAATTTTCCTTCCTGCCCCAGAAACTCTTGTCTTTTTTTTGGGCAGCATGGAATGAAAGCAGCATAATACAAATCATCTTGGTCATATGCTATAAATGAAAAGGATCATCTCAAGATGAAAGATGTAGCATTTGGATACTCTGAAGTCTTTTACGTCATATTATTGTAAATCAAACCCACAACGCAGCAGAAGTGAGGCAGGCGTCCTGGTTTGTGCTGCGTAGCCGTTTTAAAACTCAGTCTGACATCTAGAGGCGAAATCGATCATCACATGATGCAGCAGACGTACAGATTGAGTCATTTACTCTGAACATTTACAAGATTTCATAGCTAAAAGTGGTGTGTCCCGTGTTCACCACCCTCTATGATGCTTTTGAAAAGTTTAGATTTGAACACACATCATTGCATCCTCTAAGAATCACCTCACAAAGGAGTCGTCTGGAAAGAAATTTAGAAATCCATGACATGAGAGTAAAACATGACCTTTATTAAGTAAAGAAAGACATATAAAGGCACATCTGTCCTCAGAATATATGCAGGTCACACTACATTCACACAGTCAAAACACATTTTGAAGGTGTCTTTTGAAGGATCTTTCTCATCTTTTAATATGAAAACAGTAAAATAAAGTGTAATCACACATAACAGCAGTACTGGCCTCCCTCTACTGGCCTCCTGTCACTTTAAGGATGGATTTATCAGATTTTATTGCTTGTTTTTAAGGTTTTAAGGCACGAGTTGGTGCTACCTTATTTACTATTATCATCATACCTCGGTTAGAGCGCTGAGGTCGACCAAACCACTTGATCTTGAATGTTCTTAGATCAAGACACAAAAACAGAGAGAACTGAGCCTTCTTGGTGGCTACTCCTAATATCTGAAACAGTTTTCATGTAAGAAGTGCTCAGACGTTTTCAAATCTCTTTTCATTAGCATCCGATTTAAGTAAACACCCTGACTTCATCTCTTACAGTGTTGTAGCTTATTTATTCTTATCATATTAATGACTTTTATGTAGATTTGCTTTCTGGTCATTGTCTGTTATGCCCTGCTGCTTCAGTTGTGCAGCATTTTAATGCAACTCTCTAATGAGATTAATAAATAAAATACATTCTTGAGGGGAAAATCTTTTTTTTCTTTTTTTTAAATTAAACATTCACCTCTTTAAGACTTGAAACATGTTTCTATAATGTAATGGTTCTAATTCATTGCAACAGTGACAAATATTCACAAAGAACTCACCCTAAAACATACAACATGAAACAACCAACTTCTCTAATGCCAGTCTATAATGCTGGCATCTTCCAAACACTCACACCATCCAACTGACATCTGCAAAGCTCTAAAGCTGTGCTATAAAACAAAATGCATATATATCATAATGCCATGATATACTCTACTTTAAAAAAATAAAATAACTTCTGAATACAGAGAGAAATGTCTCGAGTTGACTGTAAATGTAAATCTTAACATAGCTTCCTGCACTGATGGCTTGTAAAACTAATTCTGACTCGCTGATTTGCAGCTTTGCCCCGATGGAGGTATTAAATCTCTACAGGTTCACACATCTGTATCATCTCACAGTATAACTCTATAGTCATCACGTCGTCCCTGATGGCAGAATAACGAGTTTACAGGGGACAGCAGTGAAGCAGATTATCTTGCGGGAGCGCTCTGAGGATAGCTAAGGACATTTTGATCCTTTTTACAGCTGTGAAATCACATCACCATCACAATTCAGTGTTTGTGACGTTTCACGTGTACGTCAAACGGAATAGCAGAAGAAGCTCTGCTGGTTGATGCAGCTCTCACAACAACAACATTTTTTTAAATAAAATAACTTGAAAATGTAATCATTAATGCAGTGTGCTGTTAAAAAAAAAAAACACTTTTTAAACTGTTAAACTGTAGTGTTTATAAACAAATATCCATTGTAACTTTGATTAATTTTCTTCATATATACAGCAATGTCAGTCAGTAATTGATTTGCTGATAATAGGGATTCAGGACACTTTTTATTGGTCGTGTGCTGATATTGCTGGTAAAGCCACAGAGACATAATTCGGGGTGCAAAAATAGCTGTTAGATACGAGGTGTGTCAGAAAAGTTCAAGGACTGGTCTCACAAAAGATTTATTTCAAATCTAAACTACAAACTACAAGTTTTCCCCTTCCAAGTAATCCCCCTGCAGTCTAACACACTTTCCCAGCCTTCTCTGCCACGCCGCCATGTACTCTTGGAAGGATTCTTCTGGGATCCTCCGCAACTCCGTCATCACAGCCTTCTTGATGTCGTCCACGTCTTTAAAACGGGTCCCCTTGATGACCCCCCTTGAGCTTGGGGAAAAAAATCCCATGGAGCCAGGTGGGGTGAGTCGGGAGGTTGCTCCAGCACGGTGATGTTCTTCTCAGCCAGGAACTGTGGGATGCTCAGGGCAATGTGAGCAGGCGTGTTGTCATGGTAAAGCAGCCACAACTTGTCCTGCCACAACTCTCGCCTCTTAGTTTGGGTTTGTAATAGATCCTTTGTGACACCAGTCCTGTAACTTTTCTGACACACCTCGAACTGATGTTTTAATTGACCCTGACTTGTCTGAATTCATGTGCGCTGGTTGGAGGTCATTAGGCCTCATGTAAGACTTTGTCATGGTGCATATTTACTACTACTCTCTGCTTGCCAATGCAGCAGTGCCAGCCTTCTCTTATTGCTCTGATTGCTACAGTGTTAAACAGTAAGAAGAACCAGGTACGATAGATAATCTACAATACCTAAAGGAAAGTGGAATCAGATTTCGGTGTAGATATAGATATTAAATATGAAATTAAGCAAAATTTAATTGGGGGCAAAAATCTACTTGATCAGAACATCCCTGCTGTGTAGTGTAAAGAAAACCAAAGATATGAGGACAAAGATTGACAAAGCTACAACAGTAGCTAGCTGAGTCTGAGATCACTAGAGCTGCTTCAGCCAGAAGGCCTCTTAGTTTCAGCCTCACCACTGTGGCAGACATGTCAGCTGATCGACATCGAGTCTGACCTGAGATCAGCTCTTTGCCCTGCTCCTCTCTGAGCTGTATCTATTACACTGTGTAACTATGTAACACACAAACTGGCTCTGAACCAACTACATGAACTCTGTCTGCACCACCGCCGGCCGATGAGCAATCTCTTTGTTGTCCACGTCAGTGTGAGATCCGCATTTCTGCCATAACTTAGACTAGCACACGGCATCACTCACTGCACATTTAGCAGCTGCGCGAGGTCAAAAATAATGGAGTTATCTGCCTTGGACGTCTAACATGCTGAGATAAATATGCAGTGAATGGACATCAAGAATGTAGATCCTTGTGTAAACAGTCTCTACAGCGATTGTACACATACTGTAGAGTGACATAGTTCTGTTTGTAGTATAGATTCACTTCTGGTGCAAGTGTTGCTACAGTTTCTCTCATGTAATCATTTTTACATTTGAGTCTTTTGCATTTACAGCTACATTAAAGACATACAAATCTGTTTTCTCTCCAAGATGGAAAAAAAAAAAAAATCTCACAACTTATAAAACACTTTCCACTGTTTCAATTTAATTCCCAGATTCCTTAAATGATCTTCAGCCATGCTGGAATGAAACATATTCAATCACCTGCACAGTAAAGAAGATTTTTAGGGTGTTTTCCAAGTTGGTGGTCAAAAGTGGCGCCTCTACACAATGCGTCACTAAATTTGAATCGTCTGCTAATTATAGGTAAATAACACTTCAAATAAATTAATTCTGATTAATTTAGTAAAATACATAGTGCCTCAGTTAACTGAATATGAAAAAAGAGTTTAAATTGTCCAAAAGTAAATATGCAAGTCTACATGTAGGGGGTGTACACCAGTGGTAGAAGAAGCTCCTTTACTTCAGAAAAAGTACCAATAGAGTAAAAATGCTCCTTTCCAAGTGAAGTTCTGTATGAACAATCCCACTTAAGTGCATAGCAGCTAAATGTACCTAAAGTACTAAAACTACAAGTTTGGTCCCTCTGACGGATCATTAGATTATTAATAGTGAAGCATCGATGTGTCGTAGCTGCTGTAGGTTTGATTTACTTTATATCCAGTTTTATGTACAAGTTCTGATGCAAAACTCTCTAACCTTTGATTTTTGCTGAGATATTGGACCATTTGATCATCTATTGATATAAAAGCATGTGAGAAGTTTATCTGTAATGTGAGCTCAACTACACACTGCTCTTTGAAAGACATATGAAGTCAAAAAGGTAGTAAAATTACTAGTTTATTCTTTACTATGTGTTGTATCTCAAAAGCTTGTTATATTACCTATTGCACGAAATCTTGAGCTTAAAAGTAACTGAAGCAGTCAGATAAATCTAGCGGAGTACAAAGTACAGTATTTAAGTGGAGTGTAAGTATTAAGTAGCATAAAATGGAAATACCTAACGTGCATACATTAACACTGCTTGAATTAATGTATGTATGTTATTTCCACCACTGGTGTATGGTTACCAATAATACATTAGAAATGAATGAGTTAGTTTAAATGCTTTCTTTCAGGGGAATTCCAAGTCTGTCTATGTTTCGTTTAAGGAAACTTCATAGGACATTTCTGGGTGAACTGAATCCACTTATGTCTATATTAATACAAGTTTTCTTGCTTTGCCGTACACCAGCAGAATGATACATCTTGCTGATATGTTAATTTGGCTTCGCATACAGAGAAAAAAATCTGTTTTATTGTGCAGGTAGTAGGATATTTGTATTTGAGATTGACAAACAATGCTTCACTGGATCTGCTTATCTGTAGCAAAAACACAGATGCTTCCTGTCTATCTAATCATGCAGAAGCCTCATCTATACATACCATGACCACATGAGAGGCACGGACCTGAGTTTGAATCAGTGCACTTCTTAGTACCTCATTACTCCTTTTCGGCATTTCAGCAGCGTCTTTTGTGACAGGACTCCGTCTGTTTCCTGTCTGTCCCTCAGACCTGAGTAACCAGCGGTTCTTTGAGGTAGAAGTTTATCCCTTTCTGACCAGATTTGTCAAGCGCATCCAGCAGAGCTCCACCGAGCGGAGGCCGGATAACCCTGTTCTGCCCGTACAGCGGGGCGTGGTCAGCAATGTTTTCAGGCCACTCGTCCGCTCCATCCTCGTCTTCCTCCTCTTCGTCGTCCTTCTCCCAGACTGACGTGGCGACGTGGTGATACTCCCTGGTGTCCTCACACTCCATCCCTCGGTGGTAGAAGTAGCTGAAGTTGGACACGATGACAGGCACCGGCAACGAGATGGTGAGCACGCCGGCGATGGCGCACATGGAGCCCACCAGCTTCCCTCCAACCGTCCCCGGACACATGTCGCCATAACCAACCGTCGTCATGGACACCACTGCCCACCAGAAGGCCTCGGGTATGCTGGTGAAGGCCGTGCCGGGACTGTCCACCTCTGCAAAGTAGACGGCGCTAGAAAAGAGTATGACGCCGATGAAGAGGAAGAAGATGAGCAGGGCAAGCTCTCGAAGGCTGGCCTTCAGCGTCTGGCCGAGGATCTGCAGACCCTTCGAGTGTCGAGACAGCTTGAAGATCCTGAAGACCCTCACCAGCCTGATAACCCTGATGAGGGCCAGCGACACCGAGGGCTGAGCGCCTTTGTCCTTGGCCAGCTCGGTGCCCAGGGTGACGAAATAAGGCATGATGGCGAAGAAGTCGATGATGTTCATGATGTCCTTGAAGAAATGCAGCTTGTTCGGAGCGCTGATGAAGCGCATGACGAGCTCAAAGGAGAACCAGCAGATGCAGATCGTCTCGACTATGAAGAACGGGTCCTGGAAGGGGGTGAATCCAGGCGCAATCGAGATGGTTTCGTTGGGATTGTTGGGGTGGGGGATGGTGGTGAACTGCTGCAAAGCAAACAATGAAGTAAAAGCAGTTAGACTCCGAGGCGAAATGAAAAATCAAAGCAACTGAGCTGCTCTGGCTCACAGATTATTTTATTCATCTGTTGTTCATTAAAGTTGGAAAGAGGAATAAGGGAATAAAGGGGAAAGGTAGTCAATAGCTCCATGGAGACGATGTTTACAGAAGTGTAAACAGAGAGAAAACAAGAAGTAAACAGGAAGGGGACAAGTGAGGAGAAGCGATTATTGTGAACATTTCTCCTCAGCACATTTCTGATATGTCATCTGTCACCAGGAGATCGCTGATACCCTGCTAACTTCTCTCTCCTCTCCATTTTCACTCTCCTGGCTTTCTTTTTTTTTTCTCGCAGACTTTTATATAAATCTGTTTCTCTATATTTAAACACACAAAAAACATTAAGTTCATGTGACCGTGGCTTGTGTTACAGGCATCTGACACTTCGTTTAACCCAGCTGCTTGTTTTTTTCTGGGAAGTAGGTGCAGGTTTGACATTACTGGGCATTAGTGTCTTTTAACAAGTTAGATAAAGTTACTCTAAAGCGTTTGATGGCCTCGCAGCACATATTGTCCACGACACTGTGTATTTATACACTCAGGTCCCCGGTTTATTAGGGTTAGGGTAGGCTAAAACTAATGCAGTCCAATGCAACAGTCCTGCAGTAAATCATCCCCTTAGGAAGGTTTTAATGTCCAGTTTGGGTTGAAACTGTGTTGGAGAGGTATTGATTCAGTTGTGTGATCGTTTATGGTGCTGTTGAGCTGCAATACAGTGTTGTGTTTTTTTGCTCTCTAAACCACTTTCAACCCAAACTGAACATTAAGACCTTTGTTAAGGGAGGGTTTACTGCAGGACTGTTGTGTTAGATTACATTAGTTTTAGTCAGGTGTCCCTAATCAACTGGAAACCAAGGATATTCTCTTTATATTTCTCTCTTCCCACCAGCCAACTCTCATGTCTGCACAAAGTATTCACATCATTTACGAGAGTAAAAGAACTAAAAGCTCACTGTAAAGTAAAGATCCGCATTGAAAATGTGATTCTCAAACTCATATATCATTAGATAATAACTAATGGATGAATGAAAAAGCAGGATTTTGCTGTCGTAGCTGGTTGTGGTGTGGCTTACTTTTAACTAGTAACTGCAACTAATGTCTATTTTCCTCATGGATAATTAAGCTGATTGTTTGTTTTTTTTTCCTCCAGTAATCGATCGATCGATTGATTGATTGTAAAAATTCTAAAAATAGCGAGAAATGTTTCACAAGTTCTCTAAACTTTAATCAGACAGTTTTTAATTTCCTGTCAATTAACTAAATAATGTGGGAGACTAATTGTTTCAGCCGTACTTGCATCAATGGTAATTATGTAAGAGCAACACATTATATTTTTAAAGTTATTCTTTTGTTTTGTGTACAAAAAGAAATAATTAAAGTCGTCAGATCAATGTACTTGTGTAAAAAGTACGAAAAGACTCAATTAAAGTACGTCAAATTTGCAGTCAAGTACAGTACTCGATTAATGTAGTTAGTTACATTCAACCACTGCATTTCTTTCTAAACAATAGGAACTGCTTGCAGCATTTACAAAGTCAGGTATAAGACAGATGCTGCTCAGATGAGGCTGATTCTACATTTTAAATAATGCAATCCAGCAAGATTAGATTTTATTTTAAGATCTCTCAGATGTCTGTATCCGGTTTAAAAAAAAAAAAAAAAGGTGTCCAGACAAACTGGACATTACAGCAGCTCAAATAGCTCGAGTGATGTCATTTTTAGTCTGTTGGTCCGGTCAACATTTTTTAAAACTGTCACATAAAGCAAATAACATAAAAGTATCTACTGAACAAACTGTGCAAAATTCCAACTGTGGCAAGTGACGGATTATGTGGAGACGACTGTGCATGTATGTTTGGTTTTGTTTGCATAGAGTCCAAAAGTGTGAAACGCTCTGATCACATGAGTATCTATGTATGGGAGTGGCAGAGCAGCGCCGGTGCTGATTGGGAACATAAATCTACTGAGTGCTGCTGCTGCCCGAACCTCCAGAATCCGTCTCGTCTCCCGGCTACCGGAGGCTAATTTCATTTTGCAGCGGTCATCAGAAAAGCTGATCTGTCGGCGTCTTTTCCATGCCGTTTTCAGTGTGTAGCCTGTGAGTCACTGCGTTTATTAATACAGACATTGGTTTATGTGTTGATGCACTCTCAGGGTTGTCCTTCCTCTATATTTAGCCCTTTAGATCTCCAAGGGGTAACGTGAGACAAGCTCATCTCCTCTCCTTTCCTTCACACTTGCTTCTCTTCCTCTGAGTCCTTCTACTCTTTCTCTAACGTCTCACTACTTTTCAAGTATCCACTTCATCTAAATGTGCTTGTTGGCTCTGGCAGGCTGCCCTGAGTGGCAGCATCTCCACAACATATCGCTGCTCTAACAGTAAACTTCCATCCGGCCTGCTCTCTCCTTTCCTCGCTCTTGTTTTTCCACCAGTGGTTTAACTGCTCTCCTCATCGCCTTCATTCCTTCCCTTCAGTCTGAGTGGATCAAATTTAATGACAAGTCCAAAATAATCTCAAGAAAAACTTTCCATTCTCTGTCGGCTGCCCTTTGCTTTCGCTTGATTCGAAACCTTTCTCTGATGATTGTTTCTGCTCCATGCTTTACTTTTGCCGGTAGAGGACATTAAGATGTTTTCACCTTGTGCTGTAAGAGCCTGGTTATGTTTGGCGAGGTGACACCTGTCAGCACTTGTTGTCCTTCTATGTTCACCTCATCACTTTCCTGTAGCTCTGTTCTCCCTGTCAGCAGCCTGCCACTTCCTTCCCTCATCTCCCTCCTTTATATGATTTTACACCAATAAAACCTCCATCTGTGAATCCTCACCTCCCTCCGTTCCTTCTCGATCCTGAACTCAGGCAGAGTCTCCAGGCAGAAGATGAGGATGGAGATCACAATGACCATGACGCTGATGATGGCGATGATCCGCGCCCCACTGGAGGACTCTGGATACTCAAACAGCATCCAGATGCTCTGCTGCCACTTCTTGGCAGGTAAAGGTCTCTCCTCCTCCTTGGCGAAGCCCTCGTCCTCCTTGAAGCGGTCGATGGTCTCCTCTCCGAGCTCGTAGAAGCGCAGCTCCTCCAGGAACATGTCCAGGGGGATGTTGGCGGGCCTCCGCAGCCTCCCACCCGACTGGTAGAAGTAGAGGATGGCATCAAAGCAGGCCCGGTTTCTGTCCAAGAAGAGCTCATTACGCAGTGGGTCAAAGTAGCGGAGGCGGCGGCGGGGGTCACCCAGCAGGGAGTCTGGGAACTGGGCAAGGGTTCTGAGCTGGGTCTCGTAACGCATCCCTGACACGTTGATGGCCAGACGCTCGGTCAGAGCCCAGCCGCTCCTCCACTGACCCAGGCGACGATTCTCCTTCCGGGCTTCGCTCTTGGGCTCCTTCTCGCTGCTCTCCTTCTCCAGCTTGTTGTGCTTGTCTTTGGTCTGCTTGTCTTCATCGTTCACCTCCTCAGATTTTTGTTTGTCTTTCGTCTGTCCTCCTCCTCCATCCTTACCTCCGCCCTTGTCTTGATTATCCATCTGTCAGACTTGGCTTTTTTCTTTCTTGGTTTATTTTGGTTTTTGCTTTGCTCTGGAGAAAAGAAATCAGAGTTAAATTAACAATGCAGACACAAACAGAACAGAAAGTAGATAGAATACAAAGGCAAGTAAATTATTGTTTTAGTACAAACCAAAAAAAAAAGCTATTTTACTATTTAGTTTAGCCAAAACATCCTCAAACCAGCTACAATGCAGCCTAATAACACATTATTTTTGTTCTATTTATATGGTAAATATAACCTCTGTTGCCAGGTTATTTTGTCTGTCATTTATATGAATGATATAAATCACTACACATCAGCAACACTATGTTCTCCAAAACTATCCTAAAGTTTAATCATGACCTCTTTAAAGCAGTTTCAACAAAACCTGGACATTATAACCTTTATGAAATGAAGATTAGTTGCATTAGTTTTAGCTGGGTGTGTCTCAGAAACCGTATGAAATTTCTAACATCAGGTATCAATGAGAGCATGCCATGAAAAGAAGACAGAATCTGCTTCTGTTCTTTTTTTTTAAATCCAACTTCTTTTTTCTTTTTTTCTTTTTTGCACCTTGCTCCCCCATATTCTACAATACATCACAGTAAATGTACTCAGTCGAAACCCACCTCCGCCTGGTGTCCTCCTCTCACCTGTCTGCCTGCCAGCGCTGCTGATTCACACTAATCACACCTCCAGTGAGTGACCATGACTCTCCCACTGTACCTCCACCTCCAGGTGCCTTTTAGGCTGACCCTTCCCTCCTTCTGCAGCAGTTTGTGTATCACTCCTCTCATTACGATGTCCAGGCAAGCCCTCCCGATTGTCCCTCCTTCATGTATTACGCTTGGTGAGGTGAGGGGGGGAGAAGGCGGAGGAGGCAGCGCCGCTCCTTCAGGGGCCGCTGTGGTGTTAATCTGCAGCCTCGGGTGAAGCTGAGCTTGTTTGTAGGTCACTCACTGTCTTTACTTGCACCCGTGTGCTCTCTCTCACGCTCAGTCTGCCCCCAGGGAATGCTGCGGGGCCGAAATTCAATCTTCAGCCCTCTCCTGGCTACTCCAAGAGCCTCGCTGCTTCTTCTCCCCCCTGTTTTCTGCCCCCTGCTCGAAAATGTCACCCTCTTAACCCCTCACTCTTTCTTAAACATACTGTACATATTTGCAAACATACGTGCACATCGGCTTGCATAGGCCAAAACTATTAGGTTTTTAAAAGGGGAAGGGGGGAGAGTTGTGGGACTAGTGATCATGATTTAGACTCTTGGGTGAGACCACTAACATGTGCTGAGGATTTATTTTTCGCCTCAAACTGCTGTTCTAGATTCATTGTAAATTACATTTTAAATTGTACTGAGGTTTGTGCAAAATTATCCACAAAATTTACAAGCCAGTCCATCCCTCATTTTGTAATAAATATAAAACCAGATGCCTGTGGTTATTTCTCATGAAGTCTAAAATCAAGTATCTCCATGTGGCTCTGTGTGCAAAAAAAGGGGCAATCCCCAGAAGAGGCTTTTTTCACAGGATACAAAATGCTGCGTTCAAATACTTACAAATACTACGTAAGTTGTAGCTTCCGACTTACAACACTGGGGCCCTAAAGTCTGAGAGTACATCAGACTTTCATGTAACCCTGGAAATAAGTAGAAAGTTTGAGGATTTAGAAACATTTAAAAACACTACAGTTATAACATGTAAAATGAAGAAGAAATAATTCAGATTCTGTACACTTTCAAGGTCAACAATCAAACTGAGGCAGGTTCATGGAAATAGCCATGTTATGTTTAGTGTGTAAAAGTGTATTCTTCTCATTATTCTTATTCTTATTCTTAAACTATTGGAAATCATTAACTAAAAGTATCGCTAGAAGTTGAAATGGCTAGGTTAAACTATTAATAACATATTGGAAAGTTTTAATGTAAAGTATGGCTTACAGTTAAAATAGCTTGTTAAAATTAGCTATAAAAAGTTATAACATATTGGCTAAAAGTATGGCAAGCAGTTGAAACTGATGGCTAAATGTGTGGATTAACAGCTGCAACTGTACACTTTCAACTTTAGTTGAAAGTAATAGAAAAAAATGACTTAATCATTTACAGTTAAACAGGATATAGTTTTATTTTAACAGCGTCCACTGTTTTATATTTTAAAAGTTTAACTTCACATTAAAACACGAGGGGTGCTGTTGTAAATAGGTTTTCACTTTCCAATCCCCGTTTGTTGCCAGTTTCGAGTTAATTTGTGATTTCCAACAATCCTCGCAGCACCTGAAGGCAGCAGAGCAAACCCCATGATTTGGTGGAACTTTGAACTCACCAAACAAACTGCGGTGTGGGTCGGTGAGCACCTGACGAAGCACTTTCTGCTGTGAAAGAGACAGAAAGCGAGAAAGTGAAAACACTCTTCTTCCTGGTGAGCTGCGGTGCAACAGGGAGCGCTGTTTTATTGCGCAGCTTTGCGGCGTTTTACGACCAGATTTGTCATCACAACTGCAGAAGAAATGTCTCTCCGCTACCACAACAAAGTTGCTATTGTCACTGGAGGATCCAAAGGGATCGGCAGAGGGATTGTCAGAGTGTTTGGTATGGAGATCATGGCTGTGTGCACTGTACGTGTGTGTGTGTGTGTGTGTGTGTGTGTCTGGGGTTGGAAGTGGCGCACTAAACATTTTGCGTCTTTTTTAGTGGAAAATGGTGCCAAAGTGGTGTTTTGTGCAAGAGGAGGTTAGTAGCACTCACTTTGTTTATACCGTTGCTGACAAAGTTGTCACTGCGTTTTCTCTATTGATTATTGAGTGATTTGTCTGAAAAACAAACAAACAAAACGCGTGCATCTGTTAAAACTCCATGAAACTAAATGCACTGTGTAATAAATGAGGCTCCATATTGTGTACATTTCACTATCATCATGTGTGTTGCAGGTGCAGCAGGTGGAGCTCTGGAAGAGGAGCTGAACAGAACAGGACCAGGCTCATGTAAATTCATCTCATGTGACATCTCCAAGGAAGAAGACATCAAGGTGCAGCTTTAGTGTTATTGCTCTGATTGTAGTCTGCAGATTTACAGTCACCTTATAAAATAGAGTCATGATCAGAAGACCTGCAGCTCATACGGGGACACTTAAGGATCCTGTTGATTATTTTCTCAATTATTGATTAGTATGGGCGATAAAATGCCCCCAAATGCTTAAATAAAAAAAATAAAAAGAAGTATAAGTGTTCCCCAAAGCCAAAAATGATTTCCTCAAATTTCTGTTTTGTCCAAAGATATTCGGTTTACTGTCATAGTGGAAGACAGAAGCTAGAAAAAGAAGAAAAGACCTGTATGTTGAAATTGTCGACTTAATTTTAGGCTGTTTTTTTTTTATTTTTTATTCAAATAAAACAAAAAATATGTATTAAAGTACCTAATGTTATGACCCAGCTCTCGACAGGGTCAGCTGAACAACAGATGTTATGCAATTTTTTTCTTAGTGACAAAATTATCAAATGTAAAAAGGTGATGATACAAGTAAACAGAGCTAGTAGGTGTTGCCAAATCAAAGAACCAAATAAAACCAAACCAAGGCTGACAGCATTACAACAGCTAGCTAAACAAAACAATGAAACTCCTTAGCCAAACACAATAGCAACACCCACACCTAACAAAAGAAACCAACATGCACAGAAACAGCTAAACAAACGAGCGCCTCAAAACACACATTACAGAGAACACCAGTAACTCCTAACTGAGTTATGCAGCTGATAACAGAAGATAAGAGAACATGAAGACATGAGAGGCTGTTTCTTCTCTCTGTAGTAGCTGCAAACCTCCTTTATGTGACCATATTTGAACACTCAGACGCTGAAGATTATCAGTCAACCTGATCAAACAGAATTCATCAGACTTCCGTTTGTTGAAATTGCAGACTTAACTTTAGGCTTTATTTTATTGGAATACAACGAACAAAAAATACAAAATAATACGCAACTATAAAAACAAAGCTTGCTCACAGGGAATACAGGGAATCCTTGGATTTGTTGGGTATATTTCAGTGAAAGCTGCTGTTTCTTATCTTGATGGTAGCCACAGAGCCACTTTTGGTCAACGGTGATGATCTTCCACATGAAAGTAGGTTCATCCAGCTGCTGACTGACACAGACTGGGATGTTTTCTTCTTTGCTCCAGTTTAACCTCCATGGAGAAACCTTCCCGTTTATACAAAAAAATGTAGCACAGGTCCTGTTGTGCAAAGTGCGACCCGTTGAGAGTCTGATCCGCACCTCAAACACTCTGAACTTTTTCATTACATCAGGTATATTTAGTTGTAAAGTAACCGGCCTTATGGTGTCAGAAAACTCACAGAGTTTGTGTTCCTCTGTTTTTGTCTTGTCATTCAGCCTTGTCGTTGTGAAGCTTCTCCTTGACTCGACTACTTCTGTGTTTGCTCTGCAGTAACTGACTGTGTCTCCACAGCGACTCATCGCAGCCACGGTGGAGCTTCACGGACACATCGACTGCCTGGTCAACAACGCAGGCTGGCGTGAGTCTCGTTCTTATTTTTTAACCTCCAGCAGACATCACGATGACGTCACAGGATGCTTCTGTTCCTCAGTCTTTGCTTGTGAAACCTTCCTCTTCAGACCCTCCTCATAAACCGACTGACGACACCACAGCAGAGGAGTTCAGAGACCTGCTCAATCTGAACCTCGTCAGCTACTTCTTGGCCTCGAAAGTAAATTTTCACGCTTGTGTGTGCAAATAATTTGATAATAACTCTCACCCGTAAATGCTGACTTCTGTGGAAAAAAACTCTCTGGGACAGAGACAACAGAGAGCAAAACAGTCAGATGTTTAAACAGCACATGATTTACAATAAATTGAAAAGCATTATTTAAATTGATCTAAAATAATGTGATTTGAATTTTTGTGGCATTTTCAAGTTGAGAAAATTTAAAAACAGTGCATTTTGTTAATATTGTGTGTTTTGCAGCAATATCAGATTAAGTGTCTAATACCAAAAAAGTCTAATAAAACAAATTCAGGGTAAAAAAAAAAGCTTTAAAGTTGAGACCCTTACTTAAACTCCTGGAAACCTGAAGTTGAGAAAGTAAATTTCAAGGTGAAAAATTGACACTTTAATATTAATACATTCAGGATAATCTGTCAGTGTAAAGTAACAGACTCACTTCAGACTTTTTAAAAAAAAATGAAATAAAAAATATATAAATGTATTATAAAATAATATACAAAAACAAAAATAGAAACACAGCTTGTTCATGTGGACTTATCAGAGTGGTTGCTTTTTTAATGTTTGTTTTTGTAGAGGTATAGCTTTAATTCTAAATTAGTGGGGCTTATTTCATTCATTACTGTAGGGCTTAGCCTTAATATTTAAATATGTCAGGCTAATGTATCTGCTTAATAATACTGCAGCCTTGTTATATATTTATTATAGTCTGGAAAAGTTGTATTTTGTATAGTTTTTGTAGGGTTTTAATGGTTAATGTTTAAATTATACAGGTACATTCACATCCTCAGTGTTTACACTTCTTCTAATGAAAAGCACTTTGACACTACAGCTGCGCCTTTAAATGTATAAACAACGGTGCATTTTTAAAGTAATGAATTCTGAGAAATTAAGTTTCCAGTAAATGCTTTAAATTCAGCTCCAACCTTAAATATTCACAATTGTGGTATTTACTACTTCTTTGTTTCCACACAGCTCCCTCTCATGTCCTCAGGCAAATGTATGTACAACATATAGGATCTTTGCATCTCAAGGAGGTCTCCCTCTGTCTGCAGCACGCGCTACCGTCTCTACGGCAGCGTCAGGGGAACATCATCAACGTGTCCAGTCTGGTGGGAACCATCGGTCAGAAAGACGCCGCTCCGTATGTCGCCACCAAGGTGAGTTCAGGTGAACATGTTTCATCACTTCCTAAATCTCAGCCAGTTGGCGAGTCCGGGTAATGTGGTGTTTTCTCCACAAGGGGGCGATAATCTCCATGACGAAGGCGATGGCTGTGGATGAGAGTCGCTACAACGTGAGAGTCAACTGGTGAGGCCAACTGTGGTCGCTCTGGTTTCTTCAGCTGTTTTGCGTCACTAATATAAAAATATTTCACTCTCAGCACCAGTAGATGTTATTTAAACGTGCAGCACAAGAGCAGCTTGATCATTTACACTCACCCCGCTTCATGCTGGTGTCTGATTAAACGGTCCATGGCGGTGCTTTAGGTACTATTGTTGTTATAACTGATCAATTTAATTGTGTTATCCTAAACTTTCTAGCAGAAGTATTTTGTGTTTTTACTTAAACAAAAATACTTTATCAGGAGTATTTATTCCACAGGAAAGCAGCTTGTGACTCATCTGTTATCAAATGTGGCATTATTAGCTCATTAATGCTGATGTAAGCTGCTTAAGGCCCAGTTAGTTTTATCTGTTTTTTTTACAGGGTTAATTAGTTTAATCCAGCGGCTCATTGAAAAGGTTACACAATAAATATGAAGCCAGGTGTGAACTGCAGGGGAGTTTGGCTGCTCTTAATAAGACATGAGCTCCTCTGAAAGCACGATTAATAATATTTTAAGGGCAGTATGCTAGTTTTGCCATGTATTTTTATTTTTCTGTATCTCCATCGTGCGTAAAATGAATACATTATTGATGTAATAGTCATTCATGAGGTGATTTTTGTTTTCCTGCTGAGAAACAGAGAAAATAAAATGTTTTTTATTGAACATATTTATAATCATCTTAAAGTGCACAACTATTATTTATGTTTAATAGCATTTCTTTTCACTCTTTATGCCTCCATGGTGCTGATAGATGCCCAGCAGCAGATCTGTTGTTTTATTCTTTCTTTTAGCAATGATTTTCTCACTAATTGGAATGATTGTAAGAAGCTCAATCGAGTGGTTTATAAATCTGTTCCTTCTAACCATAGTGGTGAAAATCATTAGTTTACACACTGGGGTCAAGAGATTAATAACTGGAGATAAAAGAAGAAAAAAACTGACATATTCAGCAACATAAATCTTTTTTTTTTTTGTAATTTGGAGTCTGCTTTTTGTGAACTATGAGATAATTTTACCTCTTTGAATAAAACCACCTGAAAGCTTTAGACGGGAAACATCTGTTTGAAACATGACAGTCGTGTTTTTTTATAAGTGGTCACAAGACAAAAATAGTCCAAACAGCTTGTCTTAAAAATGCTTTGTATGTTTTATGCTGAAGTTAAACTTTGATCTGAAATGTAACCATTTTAGTCGGATACATGAAGTGGATTAAAATACACAGATTCTCCGACTGAATGTGGCATGAAGTGGAAACACTCAGAGTAAAAATACATCTGAGCTGCACTTTAGTACTGTAATGTTAGTTTGCACCACTGCTTGTCAGTTTCTAAAATAACACAATGACAAAG